TGGGAATTTTGCTCATCGATTCAAGGATCTCAGTAACCCTTCCCACTGTGGCAGATTCTGGTATTCTGGTTTCTTCTTCTTCTAGAATCGGCCTCTGGGTGGACCCCTCTGGTAGGATTGGCTTGACAGTTCCTACCAGAGCATCAAACATACCCGTGGACGTTTCCTCCTTCTCCATTTTGGAGGAAGAGCCTTCTCCAGCTCTGGGGATAGGGGCTCTGCCCTTTCTTGCTTGTGCATCTGCCAAAGACGCCTTTAACGCTTGAACTAGGTCTGGGTCATCATACTCTTCTTCATTTATCTCTTCTGGCATCTCAGAGCTTGACCCCTTCTGTGGCGACTCCTCTACAACTTTGCCCTTGCCTTTCCCTTTACACTCTGGAGATTTATCTTTGGAGAACAGGGCAGCTGCAGAGTCCACTATCTTTAGTGGTTTGGCAGAGGTTGTCTTCTTAGGCTCTTCAGTTTTCTTCTCTGTCTTCTTCTCCCCCTCATGACGATCATGGTCATCACCTCCTTGATCGTCATGGATTTTGGTGGCTTCTRCTTTGCAAGAGGTAAGGGGAGCCTTCTTCAATCGCCTTAGGATTCTGGTAGCCGCCTTCTCCATTTTCTCGATCACCAACTCAGCATTCACAAAAGCGTTGTTTATGTCGATCTCTGAGGCCCACTTCATTTTAGAGAGGCTGCGATAGATTTCGCTTCTGAGAGTGTCACCCGCTTTGACGAGCTTTGTAGTGCAGTCTCTTATTGACTGGTTGGAAGCTCAGGCCTCTTTGAGGAGTTGGTCTGTATATTTACCCACGAGCTCTCCTAGGGCTTCAACCATTGCATCTAGCTCTCTGCGAGTGGCTAGATGGTTGATGTTTGCCGTGGAGGATTTGGTATCAATGCCATATGTGACTGCAGAGGAGAACATCTGCTTGATCTCATCCTTGAAGGTGGAGTAGTCTGTGTAGCCGACAGAGATGAAATCAGCAGCAAACTGGGCGGCTACCTCTGATAACTCTGTCTTCAGCTTCTGGATTGAGGAAGGGTTGAGAGACAGAACACTGAAGGCTTCTGTGAGGTCGTCTTTATGAAGGACAGAGTTCTGAAGGGCTGAAAGAGTTGCCTTGAGTTCTGAAGTTGTAGATGTCAACTCCTTCAGAGCCTCTGTGATTGGAGCAAATTCCTATGTCGATGATTGAGAGGTGAACAAGCTTTCAACTCGTCCAACCTCTGGAATACTGCTGTAGCGAAGGTTTCTAACTCCACCTTCATTACATAGGCATCCTTGGAACCTAGATCACCAACACATGGTGACCTAGTAGCCTCGAAGTGTGAGGCGCCCTCAGCGACTGGTTTTTCAAAGTCAGCTCGGGGACTTCCATCGGATCCTCGAACATCTCCTTTTGGAGAGCCTACCAGTGTTCTGTCGATATCTTGCCTAGTAGGTTCAGAGCCTAACTCGGCAGAGGGATCGAGTGTGGACTTTGGGCGTTCTAGACCCTCAGTCTCTGTGACTCTCGCATATGCCTCTGAAGCATATTTTGGGTTGTCACTCAAGTGTGGAGAGGCAATGGATGCCTCTTAGGGTTGAGACGAGTCCTTGGGCGATTGGACTCTAATTTTAAAACCAGCATCCTTTTGAGAGGATGTTGGAGTATGTTGTGGTTCCCGGGTAGTGCATTCGACAGAGGACGAAAGAATGTCCTCTGCGAGGTTAGCTTGGGTTGGGCTCAGCGTGTGCACGCCTTTTTCAATAGGGGATCCCTCTAGAACAGGGTCCCTAAAACGTGGGTTGCACTAGGAGGGGGGCTAGGATATGTGCCTTGGGCATCTTTTTCTCCCTCTCCTATCTCCAACTCTTCTTCTTCGTCGTCTAATACGACCTCTGTCCCCAAATCAATTACTTTTGTAGGCGCTTTAAACCCTTGTTGAATTTGGAAGATAACATCTTGTATCTGCTCTGTTGGGGACTCCTCGTGAACCACCTTGTGCAACCTTCTGTGCTTTGGAGTAGCCTCTGCAGGGCTCTCTTGAATTGCAGCCTCTGTGACCACAACCTTTGTGGGTTGGGCCTTCTTCGATTTCTTTTTCTTAGGCTTTTGCAGAAGACTACTTGGACCCTCTTCTTCTGCGGGTCTCTTCTTCCCTTTCTTCTTCTTAGAAGAGTCGACACCCTTCTAAGTCTTCTTAGTCTTCTTAGTCTTCTTAGGTGGGGGACTTACTACTCTAGGTCTTTCCTTAATCACCTCTCTAGCCTCTGCAGGCTCCTCCCTTCTTCCCTCGACCCTCATTTTTTCCCACTCTCTCTCCTAAGGGGATTCCTATGCGTGGAGGGGTTTCAGGGACCGGCTCTAGCCTCCTGTATCCACGTCTGTATGCTTTCCTATCTCCATGACTAAGGTATTTGAGCATGGCTTTAGATAGAGGTCTGGGGCTTCTGTACCCTAGCTCATGCTCTGTCGGGTGGAAC